TTTAAGTAAATTCAGTAACCAGGGCCAGCTAGGTGGCTCAGTAAAAACACTTGCTACAAAAGCCTGATACCTGAGTTTGATTCCTGGAACCAACATTAAAGTTGAAGGAGAGAACCCACTTTACAGAGTTGTCTTCTGACCTCCACACTTGTACCATGGTGTGCACATGCATGCATGCATGCACATATGCACGCACACATACACACACACCCCACAATAACAATATGTAAAAGTATTCAATTCAGTAAACACAGGTATGCATATACGTAACATTTTTCAGAAACATGTGGGCTCAAATTTAAAATTAAGAAAAAAGTCAAATATTAATATCAATTAAAGAAAAATATTTTTAAAATCTGTGAAGCTTTGTTATTTTTGCAGTGCTGAGAATAGAACTCAGCCTAGTGTATGCTAGATAAGCACTTTATCAGTGATCTATATCCCCAGTGCATCTTTTAAGTGTAATTTAATTATATGTAACCAGTACATCTTCTTTTTAAATCAAACATCTGTCTGAAGAGGTGGGAGTTAAGTTTTGAGAACATGCTCTAATTAGAGAAAAGTGTGAGAGGGCATGTCTGTGGGAGAGTGGATCACAGTCCAGTGCAACGTGAGCTCCTTTGTGTGTCTTCACTCACTCACAAAGTATTAACAGAATCCCAGAAGTGAGCCTTGGGTTGTAGGTCATAGGCCCTGGGCCTTGATTAACAACGGGTTCTTGTGCTCACGATGTAGGAGCCAGTGCAAGCCTGGTGGTTTGTTCATGCTCTGTGTTGCTTTGCACTGACTGTTGGCCCCTAAGGGAAGAGACTGTTGTGACTCAGAGAGGAATTTGCTCAAGGCCCTGCCTTTGGATATCATTTCTTTTGTCAAAGGAAGCAGCTTCAGAGGGAAAGTGGCTTTTTCATTCAGCTATACAAATTATTTTCTTTATTAAAAAAGGTTTTATTATTTTTATTTTATGTATATGAATGTTTTGCCTGCATGTATGTAAGTGTACCTGTGTGTGCAATGCCTGTGGAAGTCCAAAGAGGGCCTTGGATTCCCCAGAATTAGAATTACGAACCGTTGTTAGCTGTCATGTAGGTGCTGGGAATCAAACCCAGGTCTTCTGTAAAAGCAGCCATTGTTCTTAACTGCTGAATCATCTCTCCAGTTTCTACAAATTATTTCTTAAACAGTATCACCCAATTAGTCTGTTTACTATGGGCCAGGACAGTAGCGGGAAGAGAATGAGGCCTGCCTGTATTGGGTAAGTGCTTAAATTTCGTTAGTGTAAAAAGTCAACAGATTCCAAATTAAACATGCTCTTCAATATGCCAAAAACAGGAAGGTCAGAGCTGTGGCCTCCTTCTGCCCTGGAGGAAGGTCTGATGAGCGTTATTTCCCTTCTTCTGGCTTTTCTGTTACCTCCCTTAAAAAGTGATTGCACTTAAGTATTATTCAGACTTATCCACTCATCTCATCTACTTTTTGTATACCACATGAATAGGTATATTTTGGGGGTCATTTAAAAAAATCTTAACGAAAAGTCAAGCACAGTGGTGTGCATCTTTAATCTTAGTGAGGAGGCAGGTAGCTTAATCTTAGTGAGGAGGCAGGTAGAGAAGGGCATGGGTGACACAGAAAGGTGGATCTCTGGAACTCATTGGCCAGCTTAGCCAAATCAGTGAGTGCTAGGTTCAGTAAGAGACCCTGTCTCAAAAATTAAGGTGACCAGCTATCAAGGAAGACACCCAGTGTTAATCTCTGGTCTCCACACACATGCATATACATGTGTACACACATGTGCATATAAGCACATACATATACGTATACTAACACACACACACACACACCCCTTAGAGGAAATAGAGATCATTTTTCTGAAAGACATTTCATCAGTTTATCTTAATGTAGCTATAGCAGATCCCCATTGTGAGAATAAAATTATCATGATAGGTGTGAGCTCCCCAAAGAAGAGAAGGCCTAAAAGAAGAAAGCCCCCTCAAAGTAACCTCTCTTGACGATTACTTATGCCACATTCATCAAGTTGGCAGTTATTTGACCTTGGAAAAGGTGTTAAAAATGTATTTCTGGGACTAGAAAGATGGCTCAGTGTTTAAGAGCACTGGCTGCTCTTGCAGAAGATCCAGATTCGAATTCTAGCACCCACATAGCTGCTAACAACCATTTGTAACTCCAGTTCCAGGGAGTCTGAGGCCCTCTTCTGACCTCCACACAGGCTTTGCATGATACAGATGCACTTAAAGTAAATGCAAGCAATACACTTATACACATGAAATAAAAATCACAAATAAATAAAGGTGTTTCTGTGCTTGGGAGAAAAGGTTTTAAAACAGTGTTCCAAAAATTGGTCAGAATATTCTAGTTATATTGCTAACCTCTGGAAAAACAAATTCTCGGGACTAGTCTAGTCAAGATAAAAGATGTAGCTGACTTTAGAAATGCTAAATTATAGCAAAGTACTAAAATATATTCTATTTTATACTGAACAAGTCTGGTATTGATATTTTCTAACTTTTTTTTTTTGGAAACAGCAACTATGTTTGGCTATACTGGTGACCCTAATGATCTGTGGGGCAAGGAAGAAAATGAGTGAGACAGTGAATTCCATTTTGTGATTTCTGTGTGTGAAAATTAGTGTCTAATGAGATGTCCCCAGAGACAGTGCTGATGCTCATCAGAACACATGCCCCAGATCAGAATGAGTTTAATTATCACTGAGGGAGTGAAATGAGGACATCAATTGGAACAATCCAGAATACGAAGAAACGGCATCTCCCAGGATGATAGACGTGAAACTGATTTTATCCGTTTCCTCTCCTTCTAGAAAAAAAAAATCATTTTTTACAGGATGTACAGAGATTCATTTCAAGCCAGTTTTTAATCAACTAATATGCTCAGCCATAGCCAGCATTTTAGATAAAGAGATCAGGTTTCTGCAGAGACCAGCCTCCTATAAAGAGATGCTTGCTCTTTGCATAGTATCCAGGTCACTACACATTGTGCCTCATCCAATAATTTGATCTAGAAATTTTCATTTTCTTAGAGGCATTATCAGACCTAATTTTACAAAGAACCACCTACTCTTTTACCAGAAAAAGACCTTAGAATCTGATAAAAATAATGATCTCATTAAAATAATCCCGTTTTGTGGATCTCTTACTCTGGTTTGTGATTGTGTGTGTGTGTCTGTCTGTCTGTCTGTCTGTCTAACCAAGTACACATGAAAAGAGGTGGGACGTACTCATCTGCAATTTTTTCCCAAGCTGTCCCTTCTCTGAGGCCATTTGCATAAGTAAATGCAAATCTAAGAATTGAAGTGCTTAGTGTTCCGTGAGCAATAGCATATTCAAACTATCTTGTTGGAACATGGAAACTTTGTCACCAAAGTAGATCTTCCTGTGCTTAGTTCTCATGCCATTATATAATTACAACAGGGGATACTTTAGCTATTTCTGTTTATTTATGTTATATTTTGGCATATATTATTTTAAACAAGACTAATAAAATACCCTACTGGCAGCTGAGGAAGTACAGTTTTCATATTTAATATAAGAAATCTGAGGCCTAGGGAATTAGTTCCCTAGCTGTGATCTGAGCTCTCTAAGCATCAAAGCTTCAGGGAGAGCCCTTTCTTTACTGTTAAATCGATCTGTGCATTTTCACAGTGCAAAGTGGCATAATCCAAACATTTCTCTGTATTATCTAATGGCTGTGTCATTTTTCTACCCACACATTTCCTCATCGATTGCCCAACATTACATTGTCCAGATCCCCAAGAAGACAGAGGCAACAGAACTGTGTAACAGAAAGCAAAGTTGATGTTTTCTACCCAGGCAGAAGGATCCTAACCTTAAAAATATTTACATATAAACAAAGTGTACACGTATACCCGCTTCTCAAAGAGCTTAAACATTCTCAAGAAGGTTGAGTTGAGGACAGGGTAACACATCAATTAATTGCAGAGCAGTGCGTCAGTTGGGAAACGTTTTTAGTTGCTGGATTTCAGTGGGCGATGATAATCTTTATCTCAGCCTCAGGAGTAAAGAATTGAAAGTATCAAATATGTATACTAAGATATCAGTCAGTGATTATGTTAATATAATCACTAAATACTAAATTACTACATAATTACTAAATAACAATTAGTAATCTTAATAATAATTGTGTATTGTTACTAGAGAATTTTTGATATCAAGAGACTCCTGTCGTGTGCACAAAGGAAGAGTTACTCAGACCTGAACCATGTCTTGGCAAACCTTGATACTGAGCATGAAGTCATTTATAAAAGACTTATTTTCACACCTGCGTACACATCAGTTCATTGATATCACTGAAAACCACATGTACTTTCAAAGAATATGTAATGCTCCAAATGTGGCTTTATAGTAGGATCACTTTATCATGACTTAAAAATAATACTAAGCGTTTCATAACCTTTAGAAAAATATCATTTTCTTTAGGCCTAGAACATATTCCATACTTTTCTGAGATATAGTATTGTGGATACAAAATTGGAGAGACGCTGCAGGGTCTCCATGTAAGAATTTTTTTATTAGAAAAGAAAAAGAAACATCTGGGTAACTTAGTGAGGCCCTATCGCCAAACTTTTTTTTTTTTTTTTAAGTGAAAAGAGAGCTGGAGTTAAAACTCAGTGGTACAGTGCTTGCCTAGCTGAGTAAGGCCCTGGGTTCACTCCCCAGTACCCTAAAAAGGGAGTGGAGGAAAACCCAGGCTTGATGGCACATACCTGTAACCCCAGCAGTTGGGAAGTTGAAGCAGGAGGACTGTGAGTTTAAGACCAGCCTGTGTGCTGCATAGCAAGACTCCATTTTGAAAGAGAGAGGGAGATTGAGAATGAGAGAATTGGGATATTATAGTGTTTTTATATGAGATTATTCATTTTGGAACCCCACAGCATGAAATTGATAGGATAACTTCAAACAAATCACATCTCCAGTGTTTTCCCTTTTTTTTTCTTTCTTCATTCATAGACTCAAAAAGAAAAAACAAGCCAAACAAAATGCAGAGACAGCCTCAGCTCTAACCACAAGGAGTCATTCTGGGAAAGAGGATGCTAATTCAATCATTTTGGAGCAGGACAAGTCCAGCATTGCTGTGGAGGAGGAATGTAACACCGATGAAAAGAAAAAGAGAAGAAACAATCAGTTGAAGGAAATCAGGCGCACAGAACTGAAGAGATACTATAGTATTGGTGAGTATCAGTGATGGTATTGAAGTATTTTCTTTTTAAAAAATCTGTAATAGGCTGGACACGATGGTGCATGCCTAAAATCTCAGAACTCGGGAGGTAGAGGCCAGGGGTTTGGAAATTCAAGGCTACGCTGGGCTACATGAGACCCTGTCTGAAAACAACAACAAAGAATTGTAATGGTTTTAAGTTGGGTATGGCAGTACACATCTGTAATCCTAGCACTCAGAAGACTGAAGCAGGAGGACCACAAGTCTGAGACAAGCCTGAGCTCCTTAGGGAGCTCAGGCCAACCTGGATGGATATTCCAACCCTTTCTCCGAATAAAGAAACAAAAATCTCCACGCCTTCAAAACCACAATTGTAATGATTTTTTAAGAAGTATGATTTATAAACTCTCATCATAATAATAGTACCAGCTGATAGAGCAATCTACGTGCTCCAAGCTCTTGTATATATCACAGTGTAAAAGGATGACAGTGAAAGAATGTGCTCTACTGTTTGCATCGTTGTCACCCAGTTCTGTGCCTATCACATATTGTGTGCTAATAAGCATTTATATAATGAACTATTTTCCCTGTAGAAGAGCTATACTTGTTTCTTTTTTGTTCTTTGTGTGTGTGGTGTGTGTGTACATGTATGTGTGAAGATGTACTTCCCTGTGCATGCACATGTGGAGGATGGAAGTTGACTTTGATGTCTTCCTCTCTTGCTCTCTACCTTATTTACTGAGACAGTGTCTTTCATTGAAACTAAAGTTCACTGCTTCAGCTGTCTGGCCAGTGAGCCCCAGGAATCTGGCTGTCTCCGCCCCTCAATACTGAGGTTACAGGTGCATGGCTATATCTGGCTTTTTACGTGTTAGGGATCTTTATGCTTGTGCAGCAAGCACTTTACCCACTGAGCAATTTCCTGGACTCAGTTTTTTTCTTAGTGGGCATATATATGTACATAAAGGAATTGATAGTAATACTTGCACTTTTTAGAAGAGACAAGCCTAGCATGTGTCAGCTAAAAACAACAGGCAAAAACAACAAAGAGCCCTCGTTTAGAAATAAGTCCATAATGTTATTCAATTTTCGTTAGAATAACCATTGCATCTGAAATTGCATTGGGAACAGTGACATATCTAGCTGTTCTTGGCTCACCCTTTTCATACCTACTGTTCTGTCACAGGCATGTCTGGGGGGTATTTCAGAGGATGCAAAGAGAGGGTACCAAGAGGCAGAAATTCTGAATACAGGTTATGACATGCTAGAGATTGCTAGACAAAGAGAGAGAAGGTTGAGGAAGGCCTCCAAGAGCATCCTACAAATGAGACACTGAGATACAGTCTTATGAAAGAATTGGCAGCTTGCTCGGGAGGTCCTAAACTTGATCCAGATTAGGGCAGAGTTAGAGTAAGGTATATCTTGTTTCCATGTTTAATGTAGCTTCTTAACAGTGCTTGTGATGATTAGTGTCAACAGGATCTGAAATCACCTAGGAGACAAGCCTCCAAGAACACAATTTCTGCCTCTTGGTACCCTCTCTTTGCATCCTCTTTGAAATATCCTCTAGGCATGCCTGTGACAGAAGGTATGAAAAGGGTGAGCCAAGAACAGGTAGATATGTCGCTGTTCCCAGTACAGTTTCACTTTCACGAGGTATTATTTAACCTATAGACATGTCTTTGAGGGATTCTGTTGACTGCGTAAATTGATGTGAGAAGACCCATCCTAAAAGTGGGCACCACCGTTCCCTGAGTTTGGGTCCTGGAATGAATAAAAAGGAGAAAGTGAGCTGTGCACAAGCATTTGTTGCTCTTTTTTCTGACTGAGGATGCAATGTGACTATCAGCTTCAAACTCCTGCTGCCTTGGCTTCCCATCATGATGGATCATGTGATAAACTGTGAGCCAAAATAAGTCCTTTGTTCCTTAAATTGCTTTTATCAGGGTATTTTATCACAGTAACCAGAAAGTAGCTAAGACAGTGCAGATAAGGAGTCAGCCTGCAGCCAAGAGCACTGGCTTTTAGCACTACAGAGGGCTAAAATTATTCCAGCATGTAGCATGCAGCTAGCTTAGTGCTCAAGCCACCAGTATGCTTTATAACACTATACCTCTCAGCCTAGTGAGAGAGGCTCCTGGGGATTAATAATCTTCTTAAAACATAAAATGTCAGTGTTACACCTTAGTTCCAAAAAAGGAAGAGAATTGAGGAAAATTGCATTTTACATCATGTTTTATGTATGATTTCTTCCTGTGATAGAATGGCTTTTGAATAAACTGGTGCAAATGCAAATATTTTGTTGTGTTTAAGACAATAACCTTCATCTTTACCTTGCTGTGTCTACTTGACCTCACAAAATCAGCTCAGTCACTTTGTCATTTTCTTTTCCTGTCCCTGTCCTGGCTTGATTATCATCTGTATTTTCAGGGATTTATCGGATTACTTATTTGTGACTGGAGTGACTTAGACCATGTAGTGTGTGGTGTGTGTGTGTGTGTGTGTGTGTGTGTGTGTGTGTGTGTGTGTGTGTGTTAGTACGTGTGCACATGTATGCCTGTGTATGTGGAGGCCTCAGGACAACCTCAGGTGTCATTCCTCAGGTACTATCCACCTTGTTTTGTAAGGTGGAGTCTCTTACTGGCCTGTAACTCGCCTAGTAGGTTATGCTGGCAGGCCAGTGAGCCCCAAGGAGCCACATCTCTGCTTCTCAGTGCTAGTATTACAAGAATGCACCAAGCACAATGGGCTGTTTTTCATGGGTTCTGGGTATTGAATTCAGGTCTTCATGCTCACAAGGCACAAGCACTCACCAGTTTGACAGATGGTCTTTAAATGTGTATTCAATAGAAAAATGAATGTATAGATGAATGAATACTCTGGTTTTGTTTGAGTTTTGTGAGGACTCTAGAGGATATTGGTACCAGTGTAGTCACTGGACTGAAATTGCCACATAATTTTCTTTGGTAGGGTGGAAATGCCATTATAGCTTGTCATCTTGTCTCAAGAATGTCGGTGATGACCCCTGGCTTGCTGTTTTAGGGCATTTTGTCAGGAGAATCCAGTGCTGGGATCAAACCTCCAGGTGGGCCACTGAATTCCAGGGTTCCTTGGCCCTTAGCACATCTGGCTGTAGTTGGCAAACACCCATCTTGGCAGATTTGGTTGACCTCACAGTGTCTGGTGTCTTCTGGATTCCCATCTCAGGATGTGGCTCTGTACCACTAGGGGGAGCATCAGACCTCAAGTCAAGGGTCTTTCTCAGTTCAACACACTGTTAATTCAGTGACTCTAGTCTGGTTGTAGCAGAAGGAGGCATGAAAATGGGAGGCTGTTGCTTACTAAGGATTTAGACTTTGCTTTGTAATCTGTGGGCAGCATTGGGAGAGTGCCATCATTTCTGTCACAAATCTGAATTGATAAAGGCAGACTGTGCTAGTCTGAGACAGAACCTTAGGGAAAAGGACAGGCTGAGGACAAATTTTGCTCATAGAAACAGCAGGATGTGCTAATCAGTACAGTGTGTGAAGGAGAAAAAGGAATCAGTACAGTCAGCACATGACTCAGGAATGAGGAAGGAATAAGGAAATAAGGGAATGTGCCTTTGGAGATGTTTTTGAAGGACTAAGTAGATTTGTCTCTAGGGTCCTAGAAAGGCCTGTTAATTGCTGCTTACAGATGTGTGGTGAATCTATATGTGTGAAAGAAGTTATCCGGGGAACACAGGAGAGTCAAATCAAAGAGCGAGAGGTAACAAGTAATAGCATGGGTATAGACGCACAGGCTAGAAGGGCTGTAAGTGATGGTTGTTTTTTCTGGGTACAGAAATGATAAAGGAATGTGTTTCTTTTTATTTGTTGAATAGCATGTGTTATAGAACTATTTCAAACATTAACAGTCAGAAAATAACAGAACTAAATAGCTTGAGGAAGTGAAAGTGAGAGCCTTGCAAAAAGAATTATTAGGCAAATACAAAGTTCTCTGAAAGTAGTTATTTTCTGTGGTGCCCATTCCACATCTAAAATATAATCTGCATGATCTAAGGAAGAGTATTTTGACAAAATAATGTTTTTCTTTGTTGAAATAGATCTATCTGAAGCCTGGAGCAATAACACATAGCTATCTTCAGACACTTAGAAGAGCTAGCAGTTAAGATGCTGATAAAGAATGTTATGGAAGCTGGGTGTGGTGGCTCATGGCTTTAACCCCAGCACTCGGGAGGCAGAGGGAGGCAGATCTCTGTGAGTTCGAGGCCAGCCTGGTCTACATAGAGAGTGTCAGGCCAGCTGGGGCTACAGGGAGACCCTGTCTCAAAAAGATGAGAGAGAGAGAGAGAAAAGAAAAAAGAATGTTATGGAAAGATTGAGTCACCAGAATTGCCTCATTATAACAGCATGGTACAGATTCTATGAATGTTTTGTTTTGTTTTTGAGAGAATAGAAAAAGGAAGTGATTATATTAAGGCAGATGGCACCAGATAAATTGAGATCCAGCACCTAGCAGCCAGTGAACATCAGAATACTTCTGGAATAAGAGAACTCAGCCCTCCGTACTTGTTTGCATTTGCTAATATACAGGACTCCCTTTTCACATATTCTGTTTAGATAAGCTCTTAAGGAATTATCTGGCAGTTCTCTGTGTTACTATACTTTAAAAATTAGCTATTAAGTTTAAAAAAAATTAAGACAGGGTCTTACTGTGTAGCATTGACTGCCCTGGAACTCACTATATGGACCAGGCTAGTCTCAAGCTAGCAGAGATTTACCTTACTCTGCCTCTCAAGTGCTATGATTAAAGGCATGCACCCCAACGCCCAACTAAATTAAATTTTATACAAGTACACTAAGAGTATTTCTAAATGTATCAAAAGATGATTGATCTACTTCAGTATCAGAATGCACTATTCATTAATCTTCTTTCATGTTAGACTAGTGCACATCTTTCCTTCTAAGAGCATGCAGGTAGAATAGAGCTATTAGAAATTCAGAGATTTTTGGTATTGGGCAGTTTTTC